CATGAATGAGTGCGCAAATCTCATAAATGAGTGCGCAAATAATCTATCTCTCTTTCGACTACTCGTAAGTTCTTCAAAATAAAGAAAGTACACACACACACACACACATTCACACCCCCTACACACACACACACACCTATCACACACACACACACACACACACACACACACACACACACACACACACACACACACACACACACACACACACACACACACACACACACACACACACACACACACACACTTCATATGTCACCCTTCGCCCGTTCCTTCCATGATCGGCCATATCACCGTGGGTCACCGCTTCCCATCTGAACAGCGAAGTTAAGCACGGTCGAGCTCAGGTAGTACTTCCATCCGGGAGGGGGAGGGAAGGCTGAGTGCTGATCATTTTGCTGATCTCAGCTCCTTCATGTTTTCCCTTATTCTCAGCCCTCATGCATAGATGTTTTTCTTCTTCTCGCCCGGTCTCGGTTTGCTGATCTCAGCTCCTTCATGTTTTCCCCTTGTTCTCAGCCCCCGTGCACACTCGACACTGCATAGAGAGCCAGCAGCCAGCTCGCAGAGCTGCTGGAGAGAGATTTTTAGAAGCCAACAAGAAATGTGGCACATTCTCTTCTAGTTCTTCTTGGTGCTGCCGAAGAAGGTCGAGGCCTTCTTTATCCATAGACCATACAGCATACTCTACCTCAATCCTCATTCCAGCAGACATGGTTTTGTGCGTAAACGAAAACTTGTTAACGATGCACAGACCACACCGTCGTGCTCGAGGACCGACCCGTTTGTCACCGCGTTTATGCGCGCTCCCTCGGCATCTCTCTCTAGAACTCTCCTCTCCAGTCAAGCGCGCTGGCTGCACCCCACTCCACAAATGGCCCGCGCCGGCCGTCGCCTCCGCCGCTGCGCGCGGCGATACGGCGGTGTGTGCCCGCCTGCAATCCGCGCCCGCCGCCTGGCGCCCCGCGGTCGCTAGCCGGCTGCTCAGGCGCCGGCGAGGGAGGCGCGAGACGCCTCCATGGCCGCCGCGACGGGCGGGG